CACACGTTTTTATTATTCTTTAATTTTTTTTACTTTGAAGCACTCACAAAAATGGCAAAAATAATACAAAGAATTTCCCCGTATGTCCTTCATCCAAATTCTCCAAATCAAACATTTTACCCATTTGCTCAATCGTTCTTTCTTTATATGCATTTTTATTTATTTTAAAATCGACAAAAATTATGTGTATTTATGATGTACAGCATGATGTTTTGATATAGGTATACACTATGGAATGACTAAATCAAGCTAATTAACACACCCATTACATCACGTCCTTATCTTTTTTTGTGGTAAGAACATTTAAAATCTACTCTTAGCAATTTTCAAGTATAAATTATTATTAAGTATAATCATCATGTTGTACAATAGATTTCCTGAACTCATTCCCCATCTAACTGAAATTTTGTATCCTTTGACCAACATCTCCCCACTCCCCTTCCACCCTCCCACGTAAATTTTCACATATGCTGATTTTTCAACCATTTGAGAATAAGTTGCTTATATGATGCTTCCTTATCCCTGAATTTTTCAGTACGTATTTCCTAAAAACAAGGATATTCTTTCTCTACAATGATCACAATCAAGAAATTGGCTAATCGACCCCTTAGTCAAATTTCACCGATTTTCCATTGTTTTTTACAGCAAAGGAGAAAAAAATAATTTTATGAGAAAAAACCTGATTTTTAAAGTAATTTATTTTTTTCCTGTTCCAGGATCCAATCGAGGATCACGCTGCATTTAGTTATCAAGACTCGATAAATCACATTAAATCCTTCAATCTGGAACAGTTCTTCAGCCTTTGTCTTTCACGACCTTGACATTTTTGAAGAGTACAGGCCGTTTATTTTAATAGGATGTCCGTCAATCTGGGCAGCGCAAACGTTTTATAAATCTCTTTAGGTCTTACTTATTTCACAATTAAAAAACGAGATGCAACTCGGCGAGAAATAAAATGAACCCAGAGGCAGTAAATTTCAAGAAGCACTCGTCAGCAATCAGTAAAACAAGTCGATTTATCAAAATATGCATTGATTTTTAAAAATGACTTTTTCCTCATTTTAAAAACAAAATAGTATTAAAACAGAAAACAAATAAAATATTGAAGGCCCCTCCCGTGCTAATCACCTGCACTTTCTCCCGACCCGGGAAGAAGGCCTCCGCCACAGCCAAAAGCCTCGCCGCGTCACAAACTTTGCTCATCCGCAGGCGCCATTTTCTGTCTCATAGGCACCACCTCCCCTTCGCCGTCCTCCCTTAGCCTCAGACCACGCCCCTCGGCCTTACATCACGGCCTAGCCTCGTTCCCAGGCGCCAGACTCCGGCACTGCGTAGGCTCCCTGCTCCCTCCCTCCGCCCACAGCCATTCGGCTCCGAGTCCGCTCTTCTGCTGACGTCAAAAGGCTCGCCCAGTTCGCAGACGCCCTGGAGCAATCGCAGGCTGCCCCCGCTCCCAGACGCTGCTACGCAGCGCAGGCCCCGCCCCGCGGCCTATGTCAAAGACCCCGCCTCCTTCCCAGGTTCCAAGTTCCACCGCGCAGGCCCGGCTCCACCCCCATGGCCGTTTCCTCTCAGGCTCCTCTCCCCAGGATCACAACAACGAACCCCATTTTGTTCTCTGGCGTCAGACTGCACCACACAGGCCCCGCCTCTTTCCCAGTCGTTGCGATTCATTCACGGGCACTTCCCCGCCCCTCTCGCCCTCGGTCCCACCAACCGGTCCCCAACCCCCACAACAGTTCCCCCGCAGACCTCTGCCGCCAAGTGCCCTGCGGTCGCCAACGCCCCTACTGTCCCCTAAGCTGAGGCTCCACTGCAGCCCAGCCTCACCAGCTTTCGCCAGCCCGAAGTGGACGCTCTCGCCCACTCTCGCCGTTTTCGATCTGGCGCCGCTGGCTGTCCAGGCCTGGCACCATCTCGCGCTGTGGCTGTCTGTTCTCAGCCGCAGCCGCAAGAGCGGCTGGATTCACCGCGACCGCAGCCATCGCCGTCCGTCCTCCTCTCACAGCCAACGCAGCTGGAGATAAGAAGACGCCCCCCAACTGCCACTTCCGGATTCTGGTCCCGGAAACGGAAGCAGAGCCCCCCAAACAGCCGCGAGGCAACTGCCATATTAGAAATGGCCCCCAAGCTCAAACGCGTCCAAGGGCTAAGCGGGCATCGGGCCGTGGGCAGTGATGTCTGTGACTAATAGGTGGGGTAGGACCTTCGGTGGGAACTAAGACAGACAAAACTGCCTTGTGGGATTCTAACACCACGTTGAGTTAGGGCAAAAGGTTGCGTGGAAAGCCGAGGCTGAGGTTCCCGAGGTGGGCGAGGACCACTACCCCGGGAGTGGCGTTTTTGTTAGCCTGACCGGAATGCCCTTCCTTCATTGCAGTACCCTTCTTATCCATCAAAACCTAATGCAAAAGCGATCTCTACCTCCAGAGACTCACCTAGGCCTGCAGGCCATTCTCTCCCTTCCTGAACTAGATTCATTTCCCCCACAAACCTGTTGAAGGCAAGTAAGCCCAAGACCCTATGTGTTTGTTTGTTGGAGTCAGGGCAAAGATAATAGTCCACCCAGTTTAAGTGTTTTATTGGACTTAAATAGTTGCCTCAGGTACTATCCTTGTAACCCATGGAAAACAATGGGTAGTAGGGTAGTAAGTGGTGGAGCTGTGGTTCAGACCCAGGAAATCTGGTTCCAGAGTCGTGACCTTAAACACCAGGCCGAGAGTCTCAAACTGTGTTCCCAGGCTATCTACCAGTCCAGTAATCCTCCCGGGGTTCAGAGTCAAAACTATTTTCACAATACTTCACTCTCATTCTCTCCATGCGTGTACAGTGGAATTATCCAGAGGCTACCTGACATAGGCAAAAAACCTCTTTGGGTTGTCCTCAATTTTTAAGACTATAAAGGGATCCTGAGACCAAAAGTTTGAGAACCACTGTACTAGGCCAGGGTTTCTCAACCTCAGCACTAGTCATTTCTCTGTTATGAGGAGCAATACAGGATATATAGCTGCATCCCTGGCCTCTACCTACTAGATACCAGTAGCACCCACCCCTCAGTTAGGACAACCAAAAGTGTCTCCCTCCAGACGTTGCCAGATGTCCTCTGGGGGAAAATTATCTCTGGTTGAGAACCACTGCACTAGGCTATGCTATCCTTTTCTCTGCTAGGGCTCCCAGCCCTTTTGGCAATGACCTTAATATTTCCCTGATTCCCCCACCCCGGCCATCCTACAAAATCCCCAAGACAGTCTCACGATTCTGGGGCTGTTTCAGTGACTTCCTTTGCTATCACCACCCAGTGGTTCTTTGCCCACAGGCAAGAACAAACCTTGCCTTTCCACACCCCTAGGCCCCTGCACACATAGGTCTCTCTCCCTGCATAATTTCAACCCTTCCTTCTCCCCTGCCCCTAATCTCATAATTTACCTCTTTTCAGTTAACCTCTGCAGGGCAGGGATTGTGTCTTTATTACTCTTGATTCCAGCCCCTAGCCCAGACCTGGCACAGATGAGGGGTTACAACCCAGTTGTGTAAGCCCTGAGGGAAAAAGGGGAACAGCTCTTTGACTTAAGGATCCCGAAATAAAGTGGCATTTGAGTTGGGTCTGGCACATGGCCAGATACCTTCTCTTCAAGCCCAGCTGAATCTTATCAGGTTCTCTGAACTGACTCTCATTTCTCCTATGCAGACTCCCCCTCCCCATTTACCTGGGAAGCCAGGTAAATCCAACAAGAGGCCTCCCTCCCCAGTCCTAGACTGTTTCTTCACCTTCCAGAGGCCAACTTCTGCCCAGGCCAATGACCCTACCCCTTCCCAGAGTAGTTGGGTGAATTCTAGTCTTCTAAGTCCAGCCTGGCAATCTTGTCCCTCTTTGCAAGGCCCTCATTTTCCCATCCTCCCTTGCTTCCAGAGGTGGCCATGCTATCTGATTCTAGCCAAGATGTAGCATGGGAAGTCTGCTGAGGAGCTTGTGAAAAGTTCTAGCCCCGTTACAGAAAAACAAATAGGGAGGGTGTTGTGGAGGGTGTCCTGTTTTCCCTGCTTGCTTTCCAATCTCTGCAGACATGGCAGCCATTGTGGCACCATGAGGCTGCAAGATGAGACATCACCAAAGTGCTTACTGGGACACGGTAGAGTGATTGGAGGTCCATGGGCCACCACCATGGGGCTTTAGTAAATAGCCACTTAATTAGGCTTGCTATTACTTCAAGCATTTGCCTGGCCCTGCACACCCCACTTCTTCTGCCTGGAAGGCTATCCTTGACTTTGCCCAAGATGGTGGAACTAGGGCTACAACTCATACGACAAAGGAACTCAAAGCCTCAACTATCCTCATACCTGAGGGCAAGTCCTAGGCTGTGCCATTTGATCTCTGGCCTCTCACTAACTATTCCGTCCTTCCCAGGGTCATGTTACCCACACCCAAGGTTTCCATTACTTCCTAGACACCAATAATCCAAACTTTCAGCTCCATCTATGGCCCCACTCCTGAATTTGATCCATGTATTAAAGGATACCTACCTCAGTGGTCCAGAATCTGCCCTCTACCCTTCTCTCACATTCCCTCTCCAATTAGACCTCTGGTCTAATTGGTCATGGTGTTCTGGTCAGATATGTGGTGGTTATACTGAGTCTCTGCCTCATCTCCCTGCCCCTGGTTCTATTAGACCTTCCGGTACCTTTCAAACAGCCTCTCAACACCCTCCTGCCTGCACCCTCTATCTGGCTTCCTCATATTCTAAGGTAAATCTAACTCCCCTCTCTGCTTGATTCAGCTCATCACTATTCAGCCTGCCCTACCTGCTTCAACTTGATGTTCCACTGCTACATGTGTAATCCCTTGGATGCCTTTTTCATACTTCTCTTGTGTCCCTGGGCCCACTCCCAGTGCTCTCCTAGACAATGGGGACCAGGTATGAATTCTCCAAGGTCCCAGTAATCACCCCAGCTTGAGGTATACACTCCTTAATACATCCCCCCATAGGGATTTGCAATCAGGCTTTTCACTTTAGACTTTTTAATATTTCATACAGCGATTATGGTGCATTCAGGAACCCAACTCCCCAAACCCCATTAGGAGGGCTCCCACCCCTGCCCTCCCACCCCATTTCAGGGCCCCAGGGCTTAGGGTGGAGGAAGGGGAGGTAACCACCCATCCAGGAACTGACCCCAGAGACTGTCCCTGCCCTGTGTCACCCTCTCTAGGGGTTAGGGGGCATCACCTGGGCACAACCCCTCACATACCCCTCTGACCCTGCTTGTGTACATAGACACACTATGGCTCCTCACTGAGTTGGTCAGTTCCTAGCAGGGCCCCTACTCAACAGCACCGAGTGGGATGGGAGCAAGAGGGCTGGGCTGGGGAGACCCTGAGAAGGAGGAGGCCCTGGCTACGGGACTGCAGGAGGGAAAGAGTGGGGCCCCCCACCTTGTCCATTTCCCAGAGTCTCCGGTAGTCCCCAGATCCCCCTGCAGCTGGGGATGGCAGGCGGGGGTAGGAAGGCGAGTGGCTGTGGCATGCTTTCCCATAGCCGATCCCAGGGTCTGGTGATGGTCAGGGTTCCAAATAGGGGCTGTGTCCCTGCCTCTGAAAGGCTGGGAGCGGGGCTTCATTGCACAAAATACTGTGGGAGGGCCACACGCAGGGGGTGGGGCCCAGCCAGTCTGTATACAGAGATATTGCATTTAAAAAAATGAAAACCTCATTTAAAATAATTAAAAAAAAACCAACAATGAATGAAACAAACAAATAAACAAAAAGGCTCACACAACATGAGGCAGTTGGGGCAGGCAGGAAAGCAGGCACAGGGGATGCCTCAGACCCAAGGCATCACCACCATCTTGTCTGAGTTGAGATCCCCAGCCTGGGCTAGCTCCGGAACCCTGGCTGGCCGTGGGGTAGTGGTCCTGGGTAAGGTATGACGAGGAGGGGTAGGCCTGGCCTCAGTGTGGGAGGCTGGCACGGCCATGCTGTCCGCCGGCAACTACTGAGACAGAGACAAACAGACAGACAGACCAGGCGAAGGAGTGATGAGAGCTTTGTTAGCACCCAGCAGACAGGCCAATGGGTGGGTTGACAGGCCAATGGTTGGGTGTTCGGGTGGGCAGCAGGGGACAAAGGGGCAGGCGAACATGGCTCAGGCAGGTAGGCAGGCAGCAAGCAGGGATGATACAGTTGGGGGCTGCCCTGTGAGGGGTGTGGCATCCCTCCAGCTGCTGCCTGCTGGGGCCTCGGTCTGTGGCTTAGAACTCAGCTTAGAACTCGGTGTCCACCACGCGGAAAGCTGGCCTGCCTGCGGGGGAAAGCAGAGCGGATGGCTGTTGTTGGGCAAGCAGGCAGGTGGATAGGGTAGGGGGAAGACAAGGGGCCACACCTACCTGAGTCAGGCATCGACGAAGACCGAAGGTTGGCCTCCTTTTGTAGCTGAATCTCCTTTAGTGCAAATATGGAAGTAGCTGTGAGTGGAGAAGACACAGAAGTGGAATGACCCATGGAGCCATCCAGGACCAGCCCCCATATGATCCCATTGGGGGAATTAGAAAACACTGCCCCTTCGAGAGGTTTGACTTTCACATGTCAAATAATTCCACATACAAACCAGCTACGACTAGGGAAGATGGAATATGGACCATTACATGACACAAAGAAATCATTATTAATTTTGTCAAGTATGCTAATGGTATTGCAGTTAACACCTGTTAAGTCTAGGTGAGGGATGATGTTTTGGGATTTGATTTATATATTAATCTAGTGGAGAGATAGGGAAAGTGGGCCAATTTTTTTAGGTGTGATAATACTGTTATGTTTAAAAAAATCTTTTAGAGGTATATGCTGAAATTATTTATGGATGAATATGATATATGGGATTTGATTTGATTCAAAATAATCAGAATATAGATAAAACCAGATTGGCCGCAAATTGATGACTTGTTAGAGTACTTAGGGACTCATTATTTTGTCTATTAATTTGAAAATATCCATATTATAAAGTTTTTTTTTTTTTTTTTATACAGAGTCTCACTCTTTTGCCCGGGCTAGAGTGAGTGCCGTGGCGTCAGCCTAGCTCACAGCAACCTCAAACTCCTGGGCTCAAGTGATCCTTCTGCCTCAGCCTCCCGGGTAGCTGGGACTACAGGCATGCGCCACCATGCCCGGCTAATTTTTTCTGTATGTTTTTAGTTGTCCAATTAATTTCTTTGTATTTTTAGTAGAGACGGGGTCTCGCTCTTGCTCAGGCTGGTTTCGAACTCCTGAGCTCAAACAATCCGCCCGCCTCGGCCTCCCAGAGTGCTAGGATTACAGGCGTGAGCCACCGCGCCCGGCCCATATTATAAAGTTTTTAAAAGCCAGATATAAAAAGAAAACATTCTGTGTGATTCTATTTCTATAAAGTACAAGGACAGGGAAAACTTATTTATGCTTTTAGAAGTCAAAATGGTAGTTGAGGCGGCCAAGAATAACTAAAGGAGATATAAGGGAACTTGTGGGGGAGGGGGATTCTAACGTTCTGTTTCCCAATCTGTGTGCTGGTTACATGGGTGTGTTTAGTTTGTGAAAATTCATTGCATTGTATACTTAAGATTTGTACCTATTTAGCATATATAAGGAAATGTCTACCTAAAAAAAGATAAAGGGCTATTGCATCTATTTTTACATACGTTTGAAAATTTTCATGAAAGGTAAAAGGAAATGAAAACTAAAAATTAATTTGTTCATAATAAACACAACCCATCACATATGTGATCAAGGATATTCCCCTGCTTGAGACAGCATAGCCAGAACCCTACACAACCCACCCAGCTGCCCCAGCAATCCTGTTCCCCACAGTCCCTGCACTGGCTGGTCCTTTCCCCAGCTCCACTCACTGTCAGGAAGTTTGTGGATCCGCTCCCCCAGACTAAAGAAGAATGGATGTTTCATGGCATCCTCTGCAGAGATCCGATTTCGACCCTCAAACTGAATTGAGAGGGAGGGGAGTATTAGAATCTTCAAGAGTAGGTCTCTCTTCCTGCCCAACTCAGACCCTATGGCAGGGGGGGGGTCCTTGTTCCCCCACACCTGGAATCCCTGACTCCCAAGGCTGACCCAGGAAGGTGGTCTCACCTGCAGCAGCTTGGTGAGGAGGTCAGCCCCGTCGCTATCAAGTCTACCGCAAGGACAAGGAGAACCTGCTTTAAATTGAGTTTGGGCACTCTGGCCCCTAATGCCCATGTGCCCCACCCACCAGCCTCACCGGGATGCGTGGCTCAAAAGGGACTCGGCTCGGTACTTGGGGTAGTTGTATGTCTTAAACTCCTCATTGGACAGGATGCCTGGCCATGTGTCCTCAGTTGGGGTTCCTGGCAGGAAGAGGAGTTAACTCTAACATGTCACTGGTCCTCCCTGCATGTATCCCCAGCTCCTAGGGCTCATGCCTCCTCACCTAAGATGCGGAAGATGAAGTGCAGCTGTTCCTCCACTGTGGAGCCTGGGAAGAGCGGCCGGCCTGTAGCCATCTCATAGAAGATGCAGCCCACACCCCTGGGCAGAGAGGACACAGTGAACAGGGAGGCAGTTAGCTGGGTGGCTGTTATGACCAAACCACCCCCTTTATCACATATCCCTTGCTACACTTCCACCTGTTCTCACCACATGTCAATCTGGGTGGAGTAGTCTGTGGACCCAAGCAGGATGTCAGGTGGCCGGTACCACAGTGTCACCACCTCATTGGAGTATGTCTTTGTCGGGATTGACTTGGCCCGTGCCAAGCCTGGGAAGCAGAGAGGAGAGGCAGCCAGAATGAGGAGGTTGTGGGCAAGTCTGGGGAAAGTGTAGCTGGGACTGAGGGCACCCTAGGCAAAGTCTGGAGAGGCTGAGGGGAATGAGACTAAGCGGTCACAGGGAGCAGGAAGGCTGGGATAGTAAGGCTGGGGGATCAATGGCAAGAAGGGGGAGGCTGGCAGTACCGAAGTCAGCCAGCTTGAGCTCTCCCCTCTCGTTGATAAGCAGGTTCTGGGGCTTGAGGTCTCGGTGTAGCACCTTCTGCCGGTGGCAGTAGGCCAGGCCACGGAGCAGCTGGAACAGGAACAGCTGGGGACCCAAGAATGGCAGGCAGAAGTCAAAGAGTATCCACGAGCCCCACCCCCAGCAGGCACTGCTCCCCTCCCAAACACAGACACTGAGCCAGAGCCTTGTTACGCACAAAAGAGGACAGGGTCCCAGTGCCCTCCAAGGGCTCCCAGAAAAAAAAGCCAAATGGGAAAAGTCCATTTCTGGGAGATTTGTGAGGTGGAGTGGCTGAGGCCCCCTTCTGCCCCTGCTTCCTGCCCTATACCCACTTTCACATTTTGCATGTTGATGACATTCCCACAGTCATCCAGGTACTGCTTCAAGTCCTTGTCCTGAGGAGAGAAGAGGTGGTACAGGAACGAGGGTTATATCCTGTGGCTCCTGGCCATCTTGCCACCTCCCACCCTGGGACCCACTGCTACCCAATCTTACCAGGTACTCAAAGACAAGGGTGAGGGACTTCTCTGTGTGGATAATGTCATGCAGCGTAACGATGTTGGCATGTTTGAGGTCCTTGAGCAGAGACACTGCAGGAAGCATGCGAGTAGGATGAAGGAAGAGTCAGGGTCCCAGCCTCAGCATAAATAGGGATGAGCCCAGGGTTTTCTTCTTTCCCCAGGCACTTTGGGGTAATGCCTCACAGCCAAAGGCTCTAACCCACCCTATGCCAGAAAGAAATTGTGTTTCCGTGTTCCACATGTGGAAAATAAGGCTCAGAGAAGAGTATCAAGCAAGAATCTGGGATTATAGCCCCAGGCTCGTGACACTTGATCTTCAGTCTGTTTTTAGTTTCTGGGAAGGGGTCTTGCTCCAACTTTCAGTACACAGGCCTGCAGCATTATGTGAAATTGGGTTGGCACACTCAATTTCTGTGCAATTCAAATCCATTCCATGTGATATTCTGACTAGAAACTGTTGTGGCAAGTAACTGGTGAGCACTTTTAGGGCTGCTCCCAGAACCAAAGCAAGTACCTGGTTTGCAATTCATCCACCTTTTCTCCAAACAGGAATGAAATCCTGGTTACTCTGATTATTACCTGAATATGTGGGTGACAGACATTCTCATGAAGGCCAGAGTGTTGAGGGTGGGGGATCCCAGAACCCCCAGTCTCTATTCTCACCATGGAATGTGTGTGTGTGTGTGTGTGTGTGTGTGCGCGTGCGTGTACCACGGGGAGAGTCCGAGAAGCCTGGGGCAGATGGGATATGGGTCTATACCTTCCCGGATGGCGGTGCAGGGTGCGCCCTCTTCGTGTTCCAGTCTGATCTCCTTGAGTGCTACAAGGTTGTCTGTGAGCTTGCTTTTGCCTTTGTAGACTGTGGCATAGGTACCCTAGAGTGTGAGGAAGTATGACAGGAGAGGTGCTAAGAAATTGCAGGGAGTTCCTACTGATCCCCAGCCCCTCCATGGGCCTCCTGGCTATCTCTCTCACCTCACCCAGCTTGTCCAGCTTGATGTAGGTCTCCAGTTTCCCAAAGCCAATCTCAGACTGTAGATTAAAGGAGGCAGGTTGGAGTAGGCTCAGGGGAAGGGACTGGGAGAGGTGGAGGAAAGAACAGGAACAGAAGATGCTCACCAGGCTGACACGACGGAGGCGGCGGCTGAGGGGCTTGTCAAAGATGGGGCTATTGAGAGTCAGCTTCTCAAGGTAGCCCTCAGGTAACCGGATGTCAGCTGGTAGTGATAGGCGCTTGTTGATGTCCTAGAATGCAAGATAGGGGAGAAACAGGACCATGAGCTCCACCTCTTCAGGTCCAACCCCTTTTCCAGCTCCTCCACCACCCGGACAGGGGGTTAAGCACCTCGGTGGAGATCTTGCGTGGGGGATGGTTGCGCATGCGCACCCTCACTGGAGACTGCACCTCATCCGAGGATGTGGCCGAAGCCTGGTCACTCTCCCCATCAGACCCCATCTTCAAGTCCTCGTGCACAATCTCTGGTGGCAGGGAGAGGGGGAGGGCAGGCCAGGTGGGGTCAGGAACCCCAGGACACCCCCACCCCCATGAAACACATTCCATCATCACACACATGTGTGCACATGGCCCCCAGAGCAGCCTGGAGTCCCTCAGGAAGACGGTAGTGGGGCCCACGGAAGCTCAAGACAACAAAAGTCACCTAGTGGAGCACCCCATTCCAAGGTCAAGCTGAGGCTGTGGCTGACCCAGAGCCAGTAGGTAGGTGGCATCAGAGGTAGCTAATGGGCCTGGGAAGGCCCGGAAGGCCTGAGGGGACCACTTGCAGAGTACAGGAGAAGGGCAAAGGGAGACTTGGGGCAGCTATGACAGTCAAGGCGCCTTCTTCCCCCTAGGGCCTGGGCATAAAGCCAAGGAAAGGGGCACATATGGACAGACAGACGGAGGGTATTCAGAGAGGATGGGAGATAAAGGAAAGGAGTACATGACGGGCAGGGAAGAGAAAGAAAAATGAAAATAACACAAGTCTAAGTAAAAGGAACTTGGCCAGGAGGTAGCACCTGGGAACCAGCCTGGGGGCAGGGGAGAAGGAGCAGTTAGTGGACTCACCTGATGCAGAGCTGAGTGGGCCTCGTCCAGAGCGAGGTTCCCCAGGGGCAACACGTGTGGGGACCTCTCCAGGGTCACTGCCACCACCACCACCACTCTTATCCAGGCCTATCTGCTCAGGGGCACCATTGGTCTTGTCTATGCCTCGGCCACCTCGGAGTGTCATTGACAGCTGCCGTTTGATCTTCTTCATCCGATCCATGACCTGATCAAGGGGCATGAATGGGAATGGGTCTCGCATGAGCATCTGCCTGACCACCATGGGTTCCCTAAAACCCATGACAACTTAGTGGGGAGTATTGACATAAACTTATGTCAGGGCCTACCCAACCACTATGGACCCCTGGAACCACTGAGAATTTCTGGAAACCCACAGCCAGCCTCTTGGGACCCTGCTCCTAAGTAGCCCACCTGAGTACTCAGACTTGAGCTGGTTGAGGGCAAGCGCCCACTCGGTAGTGTGGATCTCTGGTGGGAGAGGGGCACGAGGGCAACAGAAGACTCCACAGCAGGTGTTGTTGGGTGCAAGAACAGTGATGACCCCAGTTGCGGATGGGATAATGGGCTCGTTGAAAATTGTGGAAGTACTGATATGGGTCAGGGGATGCCCAAAGAATGACACGCTCTGATGGAACAAGCCCCACACCACCCCCAACTGCTCAAGCAGTGGCCACAGGGACTCTCTTAACTCCCCCAGTAACCATCGTCGTGGCAACTAGTGGACCACCCCACTGGTCTAACCCAGGTAGGGGGGTTCAGGGGGAGGGTTCTGTCCAGACCCAACCACTGGGTGGGATTTGGGGGGAGGGTCTCAATGCACATCAGCTGTCCTCAGGGCTGCTGGAAGGGTTTGACTGGGTTAGGACCCCTAGGGTCTAGCCCAGACTTTTACAAGCCAGGTCACGTTTCTCCTTACTTGATAATATACCAGGTCTCCCTTATCACCCCAAATAAATGCCCTGGTCCTCAGTGTGGCTCACAGGTCTTTATCCTATTGGCCCCTGTTACCTCTAGCCCCACCTCCCCCTTGATCATTCCTAGTTGCTGTTCTGCAACCACACCCAGCAGAATCCCACCTCAGGGCCTTTGCACTGGCCATTCCTACTACCTGGAACATCCTTCCCCCAAATTTCAAAATAGTTCACTCCTCTTCCCCTTTAGGCCATTGCTCAAAGGTCACCTTTTTCATGAGGTCCCCATAAATAGCCCTATTTAAAATTCAACCATCCCTCACCTTGGCAATTATCCCCCCAGCACTCATCACCTCCTCAGAAGTGACACCATCTACTTTTTGGTTTCTTTATTCTTTACTGTCTGTCTCCTCACTGCCACAACTAGATCAGCTCCGCCAGGGTAGATTTCTGTTTAGGTTACAGCTATATCCTGAGGACCTGAATAGTGACTGACAGAGTAGATGCTCAAAAAATGCCCATGTCAGAATGAGTAAATCAGGGGACTGAGGGCCTAGGACTAACCTCTGCTGAGGTGGTGAGTCCCTGCTACTTGTGAATGACCCCAAACAAGGTGGCCCAGCGATGCTGGCATGAATGGGAAGATGACCTAGATGGGGGGCTGGAGGGAATGGGGCCACTAAAAGGATTAGGTCGGCCTTCTTCTGCTTCCTCCTGGGCACTGGGCCAGCAAGGAGGGGGAAAGACCTGGCCCAGGAACCATCTGGACTCACAGCAGGGCCTAAGATGGCCCTGGGCCCAAGGGAAGTAGAGCTAGATAGGAGGTCGAGGATGAGGCTGGGGCTGGATTTGAGGAGAGAAATGGGTCATCTGTTACCATGAAATCAGGTGCTTACCCCAGCAGTTCCCACCCCTGGCTTCACTGCTCCCAGGAGGGGTAGAGGGGCCAGTATAGCAGAAAGACCTCAAATAGAGGATGACGTCCATCTACAAAAAACCCAGGATAACAACAAGAAAAAATTCCAACCTGGGAGGCTGAACACTAGACCTAAGGCTGAGGAAGGTGAAGCATGGCCAGCTCCCAAAGATTACCTTGTGTCCCCATATGGCATAGATATCTAGTTGCTTTGCATGTTGTAACAAGGAATGGGAGGAGAGGCTGGGGGGTACTGTAAGTAGAGCTGAATGGGGGATGGGGAGAGAACCAGAAGGAGCCATGGGTCCATGATCTCTAACTGGAAACTCCAAGGGTGGGACGTGTTCCAGAATTCAGTTTGGGGGGATTTTAGGAAAATGGGGTATAATATCTGTGTACCACAAAACACTCACAGTGGGCAGGGGGGGTCCCAGCCAAGCCTCTGTGAACAGAGACACTTGAACATTTATATGTAGTAAGATTTTTAAATATTATCATTTCAGTTGTCTGAGTTTTTTGGATTTTGGAATAAGTGAAGGAGGGAGGAAGAAGCTGGACATACAACTTCACCTCAAAAAGGGCACATGCCCTTCCTGATCCCCAAGGACACACACCATCCTCAGACTACTCTCATACTCAAGGATACTTGCCACCTCATAGTACGCCAACCACTAAGGACTCAGTCATCAGTCTACTGCTCCCATAAACACAAACCTCCTCATTCTGTCCTGACTGCCATTAGCACGCACTAGACCCTCAAGAAAGCCTCACTACATCTTAACTCCTATTAGTACCCACAATTTCCCCATTTATCTCCTTATCAGCATTCAAAGCTGTAAAATATCACCTGAACCCTGTTAGCATACACTCAGCCCCCTATAGGTCACTCTTGCCATCATTCTTGGGACCGTCCTTGGCCTAGCTGCAGGTTAACTTCTCCATAGCACTGACACCCCCCCGCACTGTTCCCCCTCCATGATTCTGACCCCTATTAACATGCACTTGGGGCGCTCTACAGCTGACCCACATTAGCAGTCACTGGACCTTTACACTGCCCTGAATCCATTAACCCAAAGTGAACGTTGCAGATAAGATCCCTGACCAGTTTGCCCACACTCAGGCCCCTTCATCGCTATGACCATCATTAACACCCATTCCATTCCTTCCACTATGTCCCCTCCATCAACACAAGCTGGACCTGCACCCCACCCTGACCTCTATTAGCACGCACTGGGTCTCACAGTTCTGCCTCCCAATTAGCACATCCTGAACCCTTACTCAGCCCTATTCCCCAGGGACGCACAAACGCACTGTTCTATAATGGCCTGACCTTCATTAGTGCACACAGGTCTTCATTTAGCCCTGACCCCTATTAGCACATACTTCAGCCCTCCATGGCTCTAATCCATTTTAGCACACCTGAATCATCACATATTCCTGTACTCTGCTTCAACCCCTCTACAGCTATAACCCCTATTAGTTCACACTTAGATCCCTTCATAGCCCTGATCCCCCTTATTACCTTGTTACACACTAAACCCCCTCCACAGCTCTACCCCCATTAGCACTCCCCGGGAACTCATGGACAGTCTTCACAATGTTCTGATGTTCATCAGCACATGCCAGACCTCACACTGCTCTGATTCTCCCCCCAATGGCACACATTTAAGTGCCCCTATGGCTCTAAAGTTACATTAGCAGTTACTAGAACTTCATATATTACCCTGCCCCTTCCTAGCATGTCCTGGAGTCTCACAGGCCCTGTGTTCATGGACACACTCACTCCACCTTGACCCTTAGTGCACTGAGCCTCTTAGCAGTCAGTGCTAAGGCACTTCCCTCATCACCACCCCTTCTCTTCCCCCACATATATACACAATTCTCGTACCAGCGCTGGCTCATCCTGCTCCATTATACAACCTCAGGTCCCTCCACCACTCTGACCCCATTAGTATGTACTGGGCCTCACACTACCCAGACTTTTATTACCACAAGCACACACCCTCTACAGCCATGACCCCCACTAGCGCACACACAACCCTGCAGTCCTTCAACTACCTGCCCTCCATAAGCACACCCTGTACTCTCACACACCGCAGCCCTTCATGGGCAAACACACAGCATTAACACCATCCCGATCCTCATCACTACACAGGAGGCCTCAGAGCCCTGATCCTATTAGCGCACATTCTGGTACCTCTACTACCCTATATATACCCTATTAATACACACTGGGCCTCTCTACAGCCATAACCCCTATTAGCGTATCTTGGAACTTCTCCGACACCCCACCCCTTTTACACACCCTCAGGTGCCACCGCCTGCCCTGCACTCCCCCTTCCATTAGCACAAACTGGGCCTTAAACCTTACACAGCCATAAGGCTTATTACTACATGCTCCAACCCCTGCACAGCTCAGGTCCCCTTTAGCAAACCTCGAATCTTTCACCACTCTGCCACCCACTTCCACACCCTCTGGTCCTTCGATCACCCTGCTCCCCATTAGCACCCACAGCACTTCCCATCCCCAGTTCCCAGGACGGGCCCAGGGCGGGGCCAAGGTCAGGGAGGCCCCAAATGACCCCCGCCCGGTGCATTCTGGGAAACTCGCTGGGGGAGGGGACACCTGCCAGCCGGGCAGCCCGGACCCCCGGGCGGTGCCCTGGGTTGGGTTAGTTCTGTAGGAGGTGGGGCAGCCCCCACCCCACGACTCGGGGACGCGCTCACCGGCGGGGGCGCGCGAGCAACCTCAGAGCCGCGGGGCCGGCGTGGCGGCGCCTGGGGCAGCGGCCCGGGCTGAGGCCGCGCGACCTCCTCCTCCTGTTCGCCGCAGGCGCCCGTCCCAGTAGTCTTCGGCCATGGCTGCTGGGCCCGGGCCGCCGCCGGCTGAGGAGGAGGAGGCGGCGGCGGCGGCGGCGGCTGAGGCGGAGGCGGCGTCCCGCTCAGCCGGCCATGAGCTTGGCCGCTGTGGGCGATGCCCCCGGGCTCGTTGGCGCCGGCTCGAACCCGAGTGCTCACGGCGGCTCGCGGCTCGGAGCCGACTGCTCGCGGAGACGCGGCGGATCCCAGGGCCGAACAGCCAACGGCCCAGCTGCCGCGCGCGCCGCGGTCCGCGCATGCGCACGCACGCGCTGGAAAGGGTGAAGTGGGAAGGAGGGGACTCACCTCCGACTGGGTGTACCAAAAGACCCGTCCGCAGCGGGAGGGGGCGCGGCCATTGCGCGCCTGCAAGGGAATGTGGCGCCGACCCTCGAACGGCGCCAGGGGGAAGTGTAGAGGCTGTTTGGTACTCAGATCCAATCTTGCCAGAAGTTTGCTAGCGGTGAGGTGAGCAGCAGCCAGTAACCTGGCGTGCTAGTCACCACTCGCTACCCCTACTCGGTCTCACTTGGTACATCCCCATGGCGGCAAACGGGACTTTTGCAAGGAGGAAAAAGACAAACGAGGCAGTCAGTTCTAGTCCCTTGAGGTGCCTTGGACGGCAGGAATTTTAAAGGTTCGCAAGAAGATGACTTTTCTAGGAGAGGCGGCCTGGATAATCATTGGCCTTTACCACCTTAGATAGGATGGTCTAGCCCCGCCTAACTACCCCCCTCCACCGCTAGCTCATTCCCACTGTTAACGTTGCAGCCCCGCCCTTTGAGGTTGTCACCCAGCCAATTGAATTTGCTCCCTGTGGTGAGGCAGCGCAAGAATGAAGGGCGTGGCTGAGCTGAAGAGGCGTGATTTCGCTCCCTCCCCGCCCCCGCCCGGTTTTCATTGGTTTTTACAGCCGGGGGCCTACTTTTTACTCTGAGCTTCTATTTCACTATAGGCCGAACATTTCGCAAGGTGATTGGCCAAAAGAGCGCTCAATCGGGTTTTGTCCCGCCTCTAACACCCCTATTTCATACAGCGGGCCTCCTGGGGTGGAGACTAAGCTGAGAGGAAAGAAAGGCGGACCCTTAGAGGGGCGGGCTTCGTTACTACGCATGCTTGTAACTTTGGGTTGGGGCGGGGCCTCCTTCCGCCTCACTGGAGTATTTGCGTATGCACCCCGAATTGGGTTTTCCGGCTACCTCTCAACTGCCTCTTCTTGCCCACCACAGCCTGGCACGTGGCTCCCTCAATCCGCGGTTTTATTTCTATTTTCTTTATTGGGTGCCTGTTGCGTGCCAAGCACTGCCAAGCAGACCTAATCCCTCACTCCTCTCTGCTTAACTCCTACACCAATTCCCAAGTCCTGCTCAAATGGCTGCAGGCTTCCGCAGACATTCTGGAACATACTTACGCTGCACTGCAGTTCAAAGGCAGCCACCCCGCCTCTTCTGGATTTACCTTTATGGCAGCCAGGGTCACACCAGTTAGGATTTTCAGTGAGATTTATATTAGCAAGGTTTTCTTAGGCCATGATGGGAGTGGAAATACTTGACAAAGACAAGTCTTCGCCGCAGCCTAGAAGATTGGGTCACTTAACTGACCTCATCTCCTACCCTTCCTCTCTCTCAGTCCAGCAATAATAGCTTCCTTTGTAACTGTTCCTGAATAAGGCAGGCACGATCCAGCTTCAGGGACTTTGCACTTGCTGTTCCCTTTACTTGGAATGCTCTTGCCCTAGATCCACATGCCTCATGCCCTCACTTCTTCCAAGTGCTTACTTCAAAGTCACCTTCTCTAGGAAGCCTTCCCTGACTACCCTATATAAAAATTGCAGCGGGGCGCGGTGGATAGCACTTGTAATTCCAGCTACTCCGGAGACTGCAGTGGGAGGATCGCTTGAGGCCAGGAATTCCAGACCAGCCTGGGCAACCCAGCGACCCCATCTCTAAAAATAAAAATAAAATTCCTACCTGCACCCTCATCATTCCAGATCCCCAGACTTGGCCCTATTCTTCACTTTTGGAAGATAGCACTGCTCAACTTCTAACATACAATTTACTTATTGTGTTTATCGTCTATCCTGGGTCTCATCTTAGCAGAACACAAGCCCCAGGAGGACAGGGATCTTTGTTTTATCCACTGCTGTATCCCAATGTCTATAAAGTGCCTGGCACACAGCACTGAACAAATGTTGAATGCCTGAATGACAGATAGTTCCAGGCACTGACAAGTGGAGAAACCCTTGTCCCACTCTTCTTTGTGCCCTCTGGGTGCAGGGGGCTTAGTGTAGTAACCCAACCCCCACCTGGTGAGCCCTGGCCTCCTGTAACACCTGGCTGGTATTATAATGCAACCAAGATTCATAGGTGACTAAGAAGCTGGTTTTGGTGGAGAAGGGTGTCAGGTGTAAGGCATCAAGGGGACCCAGGAGCTGTGGTGGTGAAGAAAAGTTACGTGGAAAATTAGGAGCTGTAATGGGGGAGGTACAATGAACAAGGTGTTTATAGAATACCAGTGAAGAAGCTGAAATAGTGGAGAAGGCAGGCAGAAGAATAAAATTTGTGTGCAAGCCCCAGCTGCTATAATGGTGGGGACACTGGACAGAGGTGTGGGATGTCTGGGGCACTCTGGAGCAATAATCATGGGAACATGCCTGTAATGGGGAAACTTTCCCACTAGACCTTGATAGCTAGCATCACCACTAAATAGATAACAGACATAAAGTGCTTCTGTTTCCAGTGTCCTGGTGGACAAAGAGAAAGAACTATGGAAGGATGAGGTCACCCAAGCAGAGCAGGCCAAGAAAAAAGTGGTCATGAGAGGGAGATGGGCAAAGGCATATATTGTGCCTGGAGCTTGGAACTAACCCCAGGAGGCAGATGTTGGCATATGCTGTGAGGGGCACATCAGGCCAGGTTCAGAGACAGCTTGAGCCATTTCCCTCAGGTTTGAGTGGAGGAATGAAGGATCTTGTTTCTAAGTAGGAATAGAAAAATTGGTGTCTGGCTGGGTGAGGGACAGAGGTATGAATGCTATGCTCAGGATCCAGGAGCCAGTACCAATGGAGGAAAGCACAGATGTGCAAGTGGCCAGCCAGACTGGTGCCTTCGACTGTCTGGAGCACTCAGCCAAGACCATGGATGGGGCATGGCAGCTCTGCAGTCCTGGTGGGGCTCATGGTAAGTCTCCTGCTACTTGCTCTATGAGATGAACGCACCCTCCTCAGCCCCTATAACCAGCTCTCCTCTCCAAGGTAGGCCTGAAGACCCTCAAAGGAGTACAGGCAGACCTGGGGCCAAGGGGGCAGGGTGAGGCAGGAAGGGGCTTTTCCTATACAGATGTTCTCAGCCAAGTATTTCCATAAGAACTGCAAAGTTATTCCTGAAGGCACTGGCATTCCCTAGCCCAGCAGAGCTGCTCAAGCCCCCTTGTAGCAAGGAAGTTGAACTGAGAGCACCACAGGTATTCCTGGTGCCAGGAACCATGATTGTAAAGGTTGGTCGAGGGTCTGAGTGCTTTGAGCCAGGTGGGAAGGGATCTGCCCCAAGGACATAAGGGATGCTAACCAAGCCCTGGCATCCTGGTCACCACAACTTTCCTCTTGACAGAGGGGGGAGTCAGGACATGTAGAAGGTGAGATTTGAACACAGCTCAAATTAATAAAGTCACACAAACCCAGGTACCTGCTCTCTATGGCCTCACAGGTGCCTCCATCTCTTCGTAAGCAGAGAGGGCAGGAGAGGTGGCAACTCCCACATTTTTCTGCCCAGGAAACTGGCAGCTGGGATGGGACTGAGCCTCTGGGTTCCCATCTGAACCAGACAGCTCCAGGAAGCCCCTTCCTTCCCTGGAACCAGCAGGGCGAGCAATGTCAGGGTTAATAATTCTTTATTAGGATTCAGGTTCCAAACAAGGTAGAAAGCAGCAGCAGGAGGGGTTCCGGTAGGGGGATGACAAGGGAACACCAGGCTTGGCTAGGTGGGCCACTGCCAGAAACCAAACAGGAGCCCTGGGCTGGAAGGGGTCTGGAGAAGGGTGGACTGGGGCCAGCTTAGAGGAGCAGATGGGGGTCAGCGGATGGTGTATCGTACATAGGGGACCTCGACGTCCTCGCCGCTCTCGTCGTTGCAGCACAGCTCAAGCACCAGCGCCCGCACATGGCGGCCCAGCTTTCGCTTCGACACACGGCTTACAATCTCTGTCATCCTAGGGGGTGGGGGTGGAGGGTTAGGAAGGCAGAAAGCAAGAGAGGAAGGGCAGGTAGGTGGGAGCAGACGAGGTGAAGGGCAGTGAACAGGAGTGGGATAGCTGGAAGTTGAGGCTCCCCAACCCACACAGGGCCTCCCCCAGCCTGCCCATTGGCCAACTCACGGCTGATCCAACCGTTCTTTGAGCTTGGCGGCTGGCATGAAGAAAGAATAGAGCATGGATACGCCCTGGGACAGCATGGTGATCTCTAATTTGTGCTCTGTCTGGAGAGGGAGGGAGAGGGCACAGAGGTGTCATGGGGGTGGACAGGCCAGCCCCTAAGATGGGGTAAGAGTGTGAGGAACGGGCCTTACCTTAAAGTAGTCAAGGAACTGTTTGAGGGTCATCTCCTCACCGTTAGCCTGTAGTCCCTGTACCTCAAAGCGATCCCACAATGTCCACTCCTGGTTATAGTACTATGGGACAAAGATGGGAGACTAGGATGGGGGCCACCCCAGAGGGTCCAGACCCCGTCTGTCTCCATTCCCCCCACATTCATGCTTATGCAGACATGTTAAGTCAGATCACAACCCTCTTTCGTTCAAAACCCTCTAGTGGCTCCCATCTTACCCTGCTGAGTAAGCAATGAAACCCTTATGATGACTGACAAGGCCCTATACCACTGGAATCCTATTTCCTTCTCATCTCCTACCCCCTCATCCTCTCACTATTCTGCTCTACTGACTTTTTATACATCGAACATGCCAGGTACACCCCACACCCCTACACCTCAGTACCCTTGCAAGGACTCTACCCGGAATGCATCCCCACCCACCACCAAGCCCGTGTCACTTGTCCCCTCACCTCCTCCAAGTCTGAACTCAAATGTCATCTTTTCAGCAAGGCCCTTCCAGACCATCCCACATGTAAAATCCCAAACCCATCCCCTTGCTCCCTGGTATTCTCAAGTCCTCCTTATCCATTTTTGGTTCCAAAATCATTTAACATATTATTTATACCATCTATTTGATAAATATAACCTTAGCACCTGGAAAAGAGCATACCCACACACTGTAGGTGCTCAATAAACATCTGAGTGA